CTTGGATATAGGAGTTACTTTTTTTTTTTTTTTTTTTTGAATGAATATAGGAGTTACTTTCACTCTCTCCCCTCCTCCTACTCTTACGCTTTTATCTTCTTCCCCATTTATTTTTATCTTACCTTCATGTTTAGTTATAGATTTCCCCAAAAATATATAAATAGTTGCTAATTAAACCGTGATCTATGCATAATGCATATGATGCACATTACTATGTCAACTTTATAACATTCATACGTTGACCAAAACAATATAACCAACCTTTTTTGTTGGCAACCATTTCCATTAACCCAATGGGTATGAAACAAGTTGGTACATGAAAGAGATAGGAGTTCAATAACAAAACATTCATAAAACGAATTGGTACATGAAAGAGATAGGAGCCCAATAACAAAGCATTCTTAATTAATTGAATACAGAGGAGTCATTCAGATACACGTAACACACACACACTTCCATCTTGGAAAGAACGGTGATCTTGACTGCTGAAACTTCTCTGCCGCGATTTTGTCTGTCTCGCTTCTGTTTCTTTTCAGTCTCTTTCAGTAGCTTCAATCTTCAAGCACCAATTTAAGCTCCAACATTCCATCTAAACTGTCATTTGTTGTTGAACCTTTAATCATCATCGGTTGATAAAACTGAGAAACTAGATCGTTTGATTCAAAGAAAGCATTTTGTCAAACCACCTTTATAGATGTCGAATATAACCAACTATTCAATTAATTCTCTTACATGATATACGAAAACATAAATTAAATTTATTATCCTCTATATACCACACCATAAGACTTCACATTGTCAAAGAAATAATCCACATATTTTTCTTTCTCTGGCCGCCTAGGGTTTTTTGGAGACTCAATCGCCTAGGTTTTTTACACAGATTCGTTGCCTTTAGTGGTTTGACTCTGCCACAACTAATGAAGGCTCTTCCTTCATCTGCATCACCTTCTCTTCTCTTCTGTTGTGGTGTCGTTCACAAGTATTTTTGTCTCTTTCTCTTTACGGATTGGAATTCGTTACTGAGTATTTGTCTTTCAGTTGTGGTGTTGTTCTCGCCTTTTCTACCAGTAGCGGTAGTATATGGCAGTAGCTGCTTGAACCCTTGAGTTCTAAGGGTTGTCAGATTGTTTCACCTGGATTCGTTAGATTGTCGATGTGGCATGTCTACAATTAGCATCAGGTCTCATCTCTGTTATGGTCTAAATTTAGTGCTTGGTTTGTATCTCACAGTACCCTAGGGAAGCATGTGTATTCATGCCTTGGTTAAGATTGCTATAATTGGTTCTGCAATGGAAATTTGGCTTTTTCAGATTAAAAGTTCAACGGTCGGTTGGTGGATCAGAAGATCGACAGTGTGGTCTTGTTATTAGAGAAACAACAATGTCTAAATGTAATTATGAGTGTTTCTTTGGTTTTGTTTTATTTCTACTGTTATTGGAGACCGATGTTTCTATGAGGAGTTCTTTTAGTGTCACTGGTCTGAATGGGTAGGGATTCATCACCTTGAGTCGGATTTTGGATCATGCTGCGTTTTTCTCAAGTCAGTATTGTGGATAAAAGAAGAGCTTGTAGTTCGTGGATTTTATTTTCTTCCTTAAGTTCAGATTAAGTGTGGTGCTCGTGTCATCACCCTCAAGTCTAAGATCACTGTTTGAGTTTGTATTCTCAGGAGCTAATTCCTTTGAGGATTGGAGTTTAGAACATGTTTCTCTCGACAATAATGGTGTCATTATAAGCATTGCAATCAGTGTTACGAGAGACCATCACTACCAATCTTATATGGCGAATGGGGATCCTCGCTGGTTGGAATCTACTATCCGAGCAGAGGCTGCCAATGGAGTATCCATGTCAGGCTGAAGGAAAACATGTTGTTTGTCGAATCTCTAACATGTTTCCTTATTCATGCTCTGTTTTTGGTATCTAATGGTGATATTTCTCTTATATTTTCTTGTTCTTTATTTTTCTTCGGTAACTATTCTTTTCAGTTCTCTATTTAAGAGGTGTTTGTGATGTTACAGAGGTATTATGTTAACTTCAGATTATGGAATACAATCAGTTTTTTAAAAACAGATTTGTGGTGCTATCAGTGAGGGGACAAAAATGAGAGATTTTTTCTGAGCATGTGTGAGTGGCTTTTGGAGCATCGGCGCAGTTTTATCTTCTAATATTTTCTTTCTTCTTTGTTTTTAGTATTATAGGTTCATTCTTCTTGTTTTTCTTCTAAGTTTCTGGGGATTTTTTTTCTCCGATTTTTGTAAGCAGAGTTCTACTCGTTTTGTTCTGATTTGTATTGTATTGGTTATCGCAAATTGTTCAATGGATTCTAGAGTGAATTTGGAGATCTTTTCTGGAACAGCTTTAACCAAAGAAAAAGATATATTTTTATCTAAAAAATTTTTATCTAAAATTTTTATCATGTTGCCAATGAAGATGACTACAGACTGTTGAGATGCGGAAAAGCATTTCGATGGTTAGAAACGTGAAACAAGATCATGATAATATCAATGTATTGTCATTATTCAACCAAATTTCAGTTTGGATTTCATTATTGATTTTTCTTGTAGTCGTATTTGTCATACCATGTTTTTGGTTGGGCTAGATTGTTTAAGAACTTGTTTTACATTTTTTGATGCGATCTATCAATTTTTATGTTCTTGTCATTGAAAGACAATGTTGAATAAAAATGAATTTTTAGACAAAAAAATAAAAGATTTAACCTCGCCATATCAGAAGTAGATTTTCCCAAATTAATTACAGATTCATGAATCTCATCAGTTTCTTTTAATACTGGATTTCAAAACTGATGCTGACATATATGAAAATCATTAGTCAGTATTTTTGACCGGCTAGTTAATTAAAACCATTTGACTGGTTTGGTCCACTCGATCAAGATTTTATATCAGCCATAGTTACTCTAACAATCAATATTAGACTTTTACTCAAAACTTTGAAATTACTGAGTCAAATATTTCCATATTTATGGAGTAAACAATGAATAGCTTACTTTACAATAAATATGTTCCAATCATTCACTCTCCATAACTTTTCTTAGAGGCGAAAATAATCAGTTTATTGGAACAGCTGCAGGGATAAAAGTTTCCAGGACATTTTGGGGAACACATATATGCCATATTCTCCAGTGAACGTGAATGACCTTCAACACTTGCTGGATTTCAGATGCTCAGTTCTCCACCAGTCTTACCTAACCAAAGAGGTAAAAGAGCCTGAGATTAAAGCTACACTCTTCGCTATGCCTCTCAACAAAGGCCCTGGTCCAGATGGCTATTGTGTCGAATTCATTCGTGCTTCGTGGGATATAGTTGGTAAGGATGTTGTCGCAGCTGTTTCTGATTTTTTCAGGAATGGCCGGTTGTTGAGAGATTTGAACACCAAAGTCTCCAGAAGCCTGCAAGTTAGGTGATTACAGACCGGTAAGCTGTTGCAACATCATCTACAAGCTTATCACGAAGATAATTGCCAATCGCCTAAAACCGATTATGCAATTATGTGTAAGTCCAAACCAGACTGCTTTTATCAAAGATCGAAGTCTAAGGGACAAAGTTCTCCTCACTACATAATTGATAAGAAGCTAAAATTCAGAACAGTGTCCCAAGAGTTGTATGCTAAAAGTGGATATTAGGAAAGCATTTGACACGGTTTGTTGAGACTTTGTAATCAAGATGTTGGAGGCGCAGAGTTTCCCACCACTCTATGTCACTTGGATCAAGGAGTGCATCACCTCTCCAAAGTTTTCAATAGCAATCAATGGTGAACTTGTAGGTTTCTTCCCAAGCCAGAAAGGGCTGTGGCAGGGTGATTCAATCTCCCCTTACCTCTTTATCATGATCATGGAAGTATTGTCGAAGCTATTGGGAAAAGGGGTTGAGGAAGGAAGTATGAGACTCCACCCACTGTGTCAAGCTCCAAGAGTAACCCATTTGATGTTTGCTGATGATCTTCTTGTCTTCTCGGGCGGGTCAGTTTAGTCAATCTTTGGTATAAAAGATACTATGGAGTTATTTAAAGCTTGGACGGGTCTTGAATTAAACACTGCAAAAACTGAGATATTCTTTGGAGACTATCCTCAGAATGAAGCTGCGGTAATAAGTGCTTTGGCAGGGTTTAAGTCTGGCTTGTTTCCCACCCGCTACCTTGGTCTGCCGCTTGATCCGAACAGAATCAGCTTTGATACACTCCAGCCTTTTTTGGAAAGGATTACTTCAAAGCTTCATTCATGGGCTGTGCAATGTCTTTCCTATGCGGGGAAAATAAGAATGGTTGTTTCTGTTATCTATGGGGTATCGTGAAATTTTAGAGCTATGTCTTCAATCTTCTTAAGCGCTTCTATGCTAAAGTAGATTCACTATGCTCTTCTTTCCTATGGGGTAACATGACGACGTCAGCAATGGGAGCGAGAGTAAGTTGGGATGATGTCTGTAAACCCAAATGTGAAGGAGGTCTTGAGATCAGGAAGTTGGAAGAGTTTCAGGAGGTGTTTCAGCTCAAGAGGGTTTGGAATTATTTCTCTACAGGTTCCTCCCTGTGGGTTGAATGGCTGAAGCAGAATGTATTCAAGAGGAAAAATTATTGGGAGATTTAAAGCTCTCAGCGGCTTTCTCCAACTGTAAGAGGAATGATCATGCTAAGAGATATGGTGAAGGAGTTTCTGCGCTGTTCAATTGGTGATGGTAGAGCTGCGACCTTTTGGTTCGATTTTTGGACTGATCTAGGACCATTGATTACGGCATTAGGAGACACTGGCCCCAGGGACCTTCGTGTTCATTGCTCTGCTTCTGTGGCTGACGTTGTAGTGAATGGTCAGTGGTCTCTACTGGCGGCGAGGTCAGAAGAAACAGAAACTTTACAGATTGTCTTATCAAATATGTCCCCTCCTTCAGCATCAAGAGGACCCGATAAGTACTTATGGAAAATGATGTGAGTCACTATGTTCCCAAGTTCTCCTCAAGGGCTACTTGGAACAGATTACGGACAGTATCGCAACCTATCTCTTCGCACAAGCTTATCTGGTTTAAGGAGGAAATACCAAGGTGCTCATTCATCTCGTGGTTTGCAATACTTGGTCGTCTTGAGGATTGACTGTCCCGCTGAGATGTGTATTATGTTCTACTGGAGTAGCGTCACATGTTCACCTGTTTTTTTCAATGCCCGTTTGCGGTTGCTATTTGGACTCACTTCTGTGCTTCTTTTTTAACGGCTCCTCCGGCTTCTCTGTTAGCTATTGCTCCGTTGCTGGACCAGCCCTCCATCTCATCTTCTCCTGGTGCTTCTCCGGTTCTAAAGCTCCTTCTTCAGGTTATCACGTATGTCCTCTGGCAGGAAAGGAACTTCCGAATCTTCAGGAACACATCTGCAACTGAGCAAGTCTGCATCTCTCGGGTAGACAGGATGATTCGCGACCGTCTACTCTCCATTCCTTTGCCTCCTTCGCGCCCTCCGCCAGCTCCTTCTCTGCTTCAACTCTTCTTCTCTCTCTCACTCTCTCCTGTCTAATGTTTCTCTCTTCTTTCTTGTAATAAGTTGTCTCCCACAACTCTGTAAAATTGGAAACTGGTTATAAATCTTAACATTTTAACTAAGAAAAACTTTCTCAGTCTGCTTGGTTCTTAATGATGAATTGTATGAACTCTTTATCATCATATCGTGCTTGTCTCAACGGCTTTGTTTCCAGCTGATACTATCTCTTGTCAGCAGGTAAAGTGTGTTCATACAAAAAGGGTTTTCAGAAGCGGTTAGCCACAAGAAGCTAGCATCACCTTACTCTTGGTTTTATAACTTATTTTAAGTATATTTTACCAAAAATACTTAATTAAGTTCCTGAACTTTAAAAAAAAAATCTATTTAAGAAAAGTTGTATAAAAAAATGGTATCTCTTTAAAAAAAAAATTCATTCAATAAAATGAATGTTATTAGTTATTATGAAGATGAAAAATGAGGTCTGGAGTGAGCCATAGGATTCTTCGAGACTCGAGACGAGATATATAAGTTATGATAAAATGAAGAAGAAAAAACAAAGAGATAAGCGACGTGTTAAACAGGATAACCCATACCGAGTCTACCGACAACGTTGTGTTGTCCATTTAAATTGTTACCGGGAATTCGTAAACCAGCAAGCAGGGCCAGTCCATTACCAACTAAGGCCCCATTCGAATTAAAAAATTGGCCTTTTCCCTTAATAATTTTTTTTTTAGTTTAAGCCTAAAAAGGTCAAAAAGATTTTGAGCCCTAAGCAATGACTTCCTTTGCCTATGCCCTGAGCCGGGCCTGCCGGCAAGGCGACAACATATCCCAGAGAGAATTGTTAGACCATCTCCAAAGGAGGATCTATGGCATTTCTAAATCATGTATCTAAATGATTATGTGGATAAAATTAAATCAAAAAGACATAATTAAATTAGATATGTTTTATAATTTGTGTTTTTGGAACCACTTCTAAATGATAGGTGTCATGTTTTGATAGGCGGTATTTAAAAAAAAATTAAACCTAATTTTTTTTTTTGAAATTTAGAACTTTTTATTGGTTCTACCATTAGAGGGACTAAAATTAAACAAATATCTAAAATTTTTAATTTAATTATTTTCACTTAAAAATTTGATTTATAACTCTAATGTGGATGTATTGTTGGAGATGGTCTTATCCTTGTCACCTTTCATATGTAATGTAATGGATTGATGAATAAAAAATAATGGTAATTTCACGGTTAATTTTTATTGTCATAACGTTAAACTGATACTATTAGATTGCTTTTATGAATAAGCATTAGAGGGTAATTGTATTTAAGAGATTTAAAATTTGACTATAATTTTAGTGCTTTGGTTACATATCTTAGCTTTTTTCA